ACTGTTGGGTCAAAATATATCCAACATTTATGAAGACATTTTGCAAGCTTGATTTCCAACTAGCATTAATAAATAATATTTACTAATTCTTACCAATACAACTGATCAGAAATGTCTAATAACTAAATTGTATTTGATTAACAATGACAATTAACACACTTTATGCATTGATTGGCTTTTTGACTCATTTCCCCTTCCTCTATAGTGCTCCTTCTCTGTCTCTTAAAAGTCTTCTCGCTGGGCGCGGTGGCACACTCCTGTAATTCCAGCAGTTCAGAGGCCGAGGCAGAAGGCTCAGGAGTCAAAGCCAGCCCCAGCAACAGCGAGGCGCTAAGCACCTCAGTGAGACCCTGTCTCTAAATAAAATACAAAATAGGGCTGGGGATGTGGCTCAGTGAACGAGTGCCCCTGGGTTCAATCCCTAGTATCCCCCTACCCCCAAAAAAATTTTCTTTTCTTTTGGCCAAGCCCTAAATTCTAGAGTACACTGGTTTATCATCTCAGGTCACCCTTCTCTGCTACTTCTTGTGTCCCTAATTACCTTGTCTGGTCTCACAGCTGCAAATTCCTATGGCTCCCAAATGTGTAACTCCAGTTCTGACTCCTTTTCCAAATTCCATCATCTACTTGACATTTCCATACTGGATTGGCATCCTGTACTTTTCCTTACTTTTTGAGAATCTCAGTTCAAGGGGAAGAGGTGAAGTGCAGCTTCAGGGTTCATATGGATGAGCCAGCCCCTCGTGTAGCCTCTGCTCCTTCCCCCTCCCCCACCTGGCCTTGGCTGGAGCAGGTCTTGGACAAGAAACGCAGAGAAACTACCTGTCAGTGAAGGCCTAATACATGCCAGGCCATCCTGTTTTCTTTTTTTAGTACTGGGAGTTGAACCCAGGGGTGCTTTACCACTGAGCTACATCCCTAACCCTTTTTATTTTATTCTTGAGATGGGATCTCACTAAGTTCCTTTAGGACCTTGTTAATTTGCTGAGCTTCTCCTCAAACTTGTGATACTCCTGACTCAGCCTCCCTAGTAGCAGAGATTACAGGCATGCACTACTACCCCTGGCCCTCCTGCTTTCTTTTTTTAATATTTATTTTTTAGTTATAGGTGGACACAATATCTTTATTTTATTTTTATGTGGTTCTGGGGATCGAACTCACTGCCTCACGCATGGTAGGCAAGCGCTCCACCACTGAGCCACAACCCCAGCCCCCTCCTGCTTTTTTTCAGGATTTCATCCAGTGTGTGTGCACAGGAGAGGAAACTGGTTAACAGACTCCACTGTATGTGTGAAAGGTGGTGGCCACACTGAGCCCTCTTCTTTCCTCCTTCCCTAGTGAAGGACAAAGGCTCCGCCTTAGGCGATGGTTAAGGAACCCTGGGTGACCTCTGGCCCCTGGACCTAGGTCTCCACCCTGCTCCCCTGTAGACACAAGTCCCAGGCAGCTGCAGCGCTTCCTGAGCTGTCTCTGCCCTTCCAGTGGCTGAGGCCAGGGCCAAATGCATTAGAGTTTCAGGAGGTCAAGTACATGATCGGACGTGGCACGGGAGACCTGGGTGGAGTCTCCTCACTATCCATAGGGTTTGGCAGGATGAAGTGTGCTTAGTTCGAACCAGGTCTCTACATGATCCTGGCCACCAAATTGGCGCTCAAGTAAGTGGGTCCAGATGCTGTGTGACAATGTGTGTTCCCAGGGCTGCCAGGGTCACCTTCCTGACACCAGTACCAATTAGAGATCAATCAGCTACAAACATACAAACAAGGTCCTCCACCAGCAAAGATTACCAAAGTGCTGAAGTTTTAGATATTCCAAGCACTTCATAACAATATGTTATTACAAGATTGACAAACTACACTGTAAACATGATATTTTATATTTGGTGGGGGAAAAGGACTTATTTTGTTGTCATATCCATATAATATTGTGATCTAGAACCCAACCTACATTATCTCAAAGGAATGCATGTAATTTGCTGAATTTCACAAATGCTCATTGCTGTGTGGTTTTTTATTTATAAAAGTAACACAACTATTATAACCTCTCCTGTTGATGAACACACTGGGCTGTTTCCAGTTTGGAGCTGTTTAAACTCCACCACTTTGACCAGATCAGTACATGTAGCTTTAGCCACAAAGGCCACAGTGTCTCCAGCATTTTTACCCAGCAGAGCGTGGCCACACTGTGGGGTGGCACACCCTGACCCTCCCGGATGCTGCTCCAGTCTCTGGGGTGTGGAACTCCCACTCCTGCTCTCCTCCAGGGCCTCCCACGGGCGGCCGCTCAGTCCCTGCCAGCGAGGGGGCTGTAATAGACCCGCGTGGTCTCCTCTGCATGGGCTGGACACCTCTCCAGGTGTCTGCTGGCCTTCGGATTCAACCTTCCTGAAGATGCTGGAGGGGACTGAGCCACCCAGGCAGAGCTGATCAGGGGTTGCCAACAAAGGAACAGCAGAGCTTGCAAGAGCGACCAAGGACGGTGGAGACAGGCGGCTTTGCCAAGGCCTCGGCGCGAACAGCCAACCTGGACGCCAGCACCGGCGGGTGCCAGGACTTCCACTGGTTGCGTGCTGCGGTGGCGGCGGGGTCACGCCATCCCAGAGGACGCGCTACCTTGAACCAGGGGCGGCTGGGGCGCCTGCTGTCGCCGCCCTCTGGAGGCCAAGGCGGCGCGGCGCAGCCCAAGGTGCGCACCTTCCTAGGCTGGTGGCTGGACGGCCCAAGAGCAGGGCAGACAGCGCCGCGCTCCTCTCGCTGCCTCTCGGAGGCCGATGCGTCCCGGGGCTGAGCGGCGAGGAGCCGCGGGAGCCTCAGTTCCCTGCCCGGAGGAAGGCGGGACAGTGGAGGGACGAGGGACCTGGGGCTGGGGCTGGGGCTGGCCAGGAAGCTCCGGGGGCCCAGGTCCCAGGGGCCCCCAACCCCTGTGGGCTTGGACCAGCTTCTGTGGGTGCAGGGAGGAGCTTTGTCCTCCTGGGGCTTGTGACAGCCCTCTCTTCGTGCCTTTGGGTGCTACTTCACTCTCTCTGGCATATCTGGCACGGTGATTTCTGACTTCGGACCTAGGGTCCCCAGAATCACGGGGATGGGCTCGGGACTATGTGCCTCGCAGGATGAGGAGAGTGAGAAGGTGCCTGGGCATTGGGATGGGGCTGCAGGGAAGGCTGGGGTCCCAGGAGGGAAGGCCTGGGCTAGGCCTGTCCCCAGCCTGAGGAGGCCCCTGTCCTGGTGCAGATCCTGGCTGTGGACAGGGTGTTCCTGGAGCATTTGCTCAGCCTGTTGGGGGCAGATGCTGTGGAGCAGAAGGCCCAGGAGATCCTGCAGCTGGAGCAGCTGGGGGCTGCTGGGGCTGGGGCAGGAGCATGGCAGGGCTGGGTCAAGTCTGGTCTCCATCCAAGATCACTGTCAGTGTGATGGCCTCTGGTGAATCTGGGCAATATGTACAACAAGGTGACCCTGGGACAGCTGCAGACAATCCATCCCCACCTGAGTGTGGCCCAGACCTTGTGTGCAGGCAGGTGTAGGGGCTGAATCTGGGACCCTGTGATCGCCCTCCCCAGGGATGGATGAGGCTTTCTATAGAGCTGGACTCCTGGTCTTCCTGTCACCATCCCTGCCCCTTGTCCTCTGTGGTCCCCACCCTGTGCCCCCAGCTGTGGTGGAAGTGGCTGCTGGACCAGATCTTCCAGGAGGACTTCTCAGAGGACGAGGAGGTGGTGCTGCTGGCCACAGACTACATGCAGCAGGTGTCCCAGCTCATCCGCTCCACGCCACACAGGTGGGGCTGCACATCCCCCACGCCTGCACCCCATGTCCCCCAGCCTCCCCCCTGCCTGCTGCCCCGACCCTGGATCCACCTGCGCCTGCGCCTGTGTGCAGGAGCCCTGTGGGGAGGCGGTGGGGAGCCTGGAGCAGGAGTGCAGTCCTGGGTTCTGGTGCTGGAGCTCCCCCTGCCTGTGGAGCAGGGCAGGCTGTGGCTTGCTGAGCTGCAGTCCTCACTGGGGATGCAGGGGCTGGCTGACAGGGTGGCTTCTCTGCGGGACGGTGTGGCCGCAGTTCTGCTGGCCCAGGGCCAGCTTCCTGGCCTCTGCCCACCTTGGGGAGGAGCAGGGGCTGATCAAGGCCAGCCCTGAGGCAGGCAGAGAGCCCTGAGTGTCCCCTGTCCCACCCCATAGCAAGTCAGGAAAGGGTGCTGGCTGTGACCCCTCAGGGTCAGGGCTGGTCAGTAGCAGGACTGTGTCCTGTTGTGCGAGTGGGGCTCAGGACACTTCAGGCTGCTCACCAGGACTGACCTGACAGCCCTTCTCTGAGGGCAGTGTGGGGATCTGGTCCAGCCTGTGTGGGGGCCCTGATGCGACAGGTGGTTCCCTGGGGTGGCCCCCATGCCTGTGCGTCTGGACAACCCCCTGTTCCACCTTCCCCCAGGATTCTGCACAACTACCTGGTGTGGCGTGTGGTCATGGTCCTGATTGAGCACCTGTCCCCACCTGCATGAGCTGGCTCAAGAGATGGTGGGCAGTGACAAGTCCCAGGAGCCGGCCTACGGGCCTGGACCAGGCCAACTGCCACTTTGGCATGGCACTTGGTGCCCTCTTTGTACATGAGCACTTCTCAGCTGCCAGTAATGCCAAAGTCAGGCTGCCTTGGGTTCATGATGGGCATCCAGGTGGTACATGGGATGCCTTCCATGTCTCCCTGTAGCTGGGGACCCAGGCTGAGCTTAGGCCTCAGTGCCGGCTCCCTAGACTGATTTGCACTACACTCCTCCCTGAAGTCACTCAAGGTGCTGTTCCCACCAGTGATCTCTTTGCCCACCATTTTCACCCATGCTCAGATTCTTGAGCCTTGGGAACAGACTGTGTCTCTGCTTGGACTGTTTCCCTGTGTGTAGAGGGAGCAGGGTGAGGGGTGTGGTGCTCCAAGGCCTTGCTCTCCATCTCAACCACCCTTCCACCTGCAGGCTGGGCCCCACTCATGGCTTATCTTTCTGAAAATAGCTGGCACTGTGTTGTATAACCGTTTATTGCTTTGTCCCTCCCAGGGGAATGGAGGCCCCAGGAGGGCAGAAAAATCTTAGTTCAGAGATCTATACTCAGCTTCCAGATGTCCAGGTAAAGGGTCCAAGGGCCACTCTGGTGGCCTGTCCCACTCCTCCAGCCTAGAGTTGGCTCTGGGGAGGGGTGAACATGTAGCTGCTGGTTACACAGGACTGCCCCTGTATGCAGTGACAGGGCAAGCCCCATCTGCAGTTTGCTTGGGTGTGGAGGTGGATCAGCGAGATGCAGGGTCTCCTGGTTCCAGGACATGCCTGAGTCTTTGGCATCCCACTGGTGGAATCTGAGGCCAGCAAAGGCACCCGTGGGTCTGGTGGAGTCCTGATCCCGTGGAGGGTGCCTGGTGCCTAACTTGGTCCTTCTCAAGTATAGGCACAGGAGGGACTGGGTGGCTGAGCTTGCTGTTTTCCTAGGATTTGAGGTTGGAGTTCAAGAGCAACCCAGGGATGGCAGTGGATGTCATTGTCTCAGCCTTGGGGGTACCACAGTGTCCTGACCATGGAGGGTCCAGGGCTGGGATGGGCAGTGCTGCCTGGTCTGAGTCTGCCTTATCCCTCTGTCTCTTGGTAAGAGCCAAAGGTGGGGGCATCAGGATAGGCAGCCCAGTTTTGGACTGGTAGTGGGGGTGCGGTTGGTGGGAGATGCCAGCTGCAGGGTTTCTGGGTGGGCCTCAGAGGGCCTGGGTGTCAGGGCGTAATCCTCAGCAACAGCAGCAACCAAAAGGGCAGCAACACTATGGTGGCGACAGGGCGGTGACCCACAGCACTGCTCTGGCCTGCTGGGGGCTCCAGGCCGCAGGCCTCATAGGGCTCCAGGCAGGCGGCGAAGGCCATGACATGCGCGATGTAGTTCTGCTCCTGCACCCCGTGCACCAGGTGCGCCTGCGGGCCCCGTGCAAACACCGCCACGTCCTCGCCTCCGTGAGTCTCCTCTGACAGGGGCACAGCCGCCTGCTGCTTGTAGGTGTAGGCGCCTGGCGGGAAGAGGAGTTCAGGTTGGGAGAGTCCCCCTCCACCCCTGTCCCCAAGAAGACGACCTTTCAATGGCCGCACTCACCGCTTTCAACCTCCGTGACGTTGGGTCGGTCGCCAGAGTTCAGCACGTAGCCGGGGCCATTGCCATACAGGATGGACGTGTAAGACTTGCCGTCCTGGGCCTTGAGCGGGGCCAGCCCTGCGGGGACAGGTGGCACCTGAGCTCGCATCGCCCTCCCCGGGGACCCCCGTGTGCCGCACAGGCGCCTTTCGCCTTGTCACCAGCTTACTCCTCCCAAGAACCCTGCGAGGCAGGCGCCCTCAGTGCGCCCGGTTGACAGATGAGATGCGACCCCCGCCTCAGCACCGCAGCAACAGCCCCTGTCGCGGTCCCCGCCTACCGAAGATGGAGCTGCCCCGCAGCGTGTAGCCGCCAAAGGAGAAGACGTGGGAGTGGTCGGCGGTGACAAGGGTCAGCGTGTCCTGGTCGCTGGTGAGCTGGCCGGCCTTGTCGATGGCAGAGTCGAACATGACCGCCTCCGTCAGAGCCAGGAAAGCGGTTCCCGCGTGGGGCCCGTGGTCGATGCGGCCCCCTGCAGGAGCCAGTGGGAGGGGCGTGAAGCTCGGCCCCGCCCCGCCCTGCCCCGCCCTCCCTGCTGCCCACGTGCCTCGCCCACCTTCCACGAAGAGGTAGAAGCCGCGGGGGTTCCTGCTCAGCAGGCCCAGGGCCACCTCTGTCATCTCCACCAGGGAGGGGTCCTGCGCTGGCTCCCGGTAGATTTCATAATTTAAGTGTTCAGGTTCGAAGAGGCCTGGGGGACAAGGGACCCAGTGATGAGGGGCTGGCTGGGGAGGGGAGGGTGATGGCCACAGGCACACAAGCTCCAGTGGGGCCACCTGAGGGGTGCCAGGTCAGGAAGTGGGGGTCATTACCCATGAGGTGCGTCACTGCTGGGTCCTGGGACACCTGAATGAGCTGCTTGCGGTTCCACACATACCGAGCCCCCTGGAGGGACAGAGCCCACACTCAGCCCACATCCCTAGACCTGCGGCCCTGCCCTGGTCCCGGCCCTGTGAGCCCCATCACCTGGTGCTTTGCCAGCCATTCCTGCACCAGGTCGCGTCCATCCAGCCTGGTTCCATTCTGGGTGGTGTCACTTGGGTACTCGGGGTCTGGGGTGCCCTTGGGAAACATGAACTTTCTGCCCCCGCCGAGGATCACCTGTAGTCAGAGACCCAGGACAGGTGGCCTTGGGGCCTGAGGGGCCTCCAGCCCCCTGGTCACAGACAGCCCCCTGCTGCCCATCAGGTTGTGGGAAGGACTGTTCTGGGAACTCCATTGAACCCCAAGAGGCCAGGGCAGGCCACAGGGTTCAGATGGTTGGAGGCGTGGGACTCCAGCCAGTTTTCAGGCCTGCCCTTTGGTCACACCACTCCCCTTTGCCCTTTGTGCTCACGTCAATGTCCATATTGGAGACGAGCTGCGTGGCGATGTCCTGGCAGCCCTCCTGCAGCGCTGAGGCTGGCATGTCTGCATCTGAGTACCAGTTTCGGTTCACCGTGTGTGCATATGTGCCAGCTGGCGAGGCATGCTGCACTGTGGTGGTGGTCACCACTCCCACGGACTTCCCTGGAGATGGCAGAGGTCAGGGTGGGCCACACAAGCCTTCTGGCCTACCCTGGTTCTCACTGGCAGCCCCATACCTACCTGCTTGCTTGGCCCAGTACATCACAGACATGACCTCATTGCCTCTTGTTGTGTTGCACTGGTCAAAGCGGGCAGCTGCGCTCAAACCAATGGTCTTGTAGTTGGCCTTGACCCCACACAGGAAGGCTGTGGCAGTGCCAGCGCTGTCTGGCACCTGTCTGTCCACGTTGTATGTCTGGGGACAGAGACACTCTCCTCTGTGTAACCTTACTCCTTGGCCTAGGCCTGGGGTGGTCCTCACTGCCCTGGACCCCAAACTAGGCCCCATCTCTCCTGGGTCCTTCCCCTGCCACAGCCCCCCAGCCCCTGCTCAGAGTCCTCACCTTGGATAGAGCCATATATGGGAAGTGGTCCATGGCCAGGGGTGTCTCGGGCCCCAGCTTGCGGTGCCTCTGTCCCTTTAAGATCCGGGTGGCTGTCACTGTGGGCACGCCCATCCCTGAAGGAGCAGATCCCCATCAGACCTGATCCCTAGGGCTGGTCTGGACCCAGCAGTGGCCCTGGGCTCAAGGCCCGTGAGCACCACGGGGTGGACCAGCATGGCGCACTCACCGTCCCCCAGGAAGATGATGAGGTTCTTGGCTGAGGTCTGAATGGGCTTCAGCTTCTTGGCGGCGTCCAGGGCCTCGGCGGCTTTCAGGTTCCAGAAGGCTGGATTCTCCTCCTCCACTGGCCAAGGGGAGAGTGCAGCTAGGTCAGCCTGGGGGCTGGCCTGTGGGGCAGGGAGAGGGGCTGGGGGAACCTCGTACCTGGGATGACACCATGGGCCAGCTGTATCCTCAGGCCCAGCAGCAGCAGCAGCACCGGGGCTCCCTGCATGTCTGCGGGTTGTAGTCGGTGGTAGGCTGGGACACCTAGGTACCAGCTACAGAGCAGGCTGTCTGTGTAGAAGTCAGAAGACAATTTGCCCTTTTAAAGCCTTCTTGTCTCTCTCCCACCCTAATCTCCTGCCCCTGTGCTGTGAAAGGCAAACCTGGATAGTGTCAGGGTGTGGCTGAGCTGGCCTGGGGCAGGAGCTGACAGGCAGCTCTCATTTTGGGCCCCAGGTGTCTCTTCCTTGTAGGGTGGGAGTGGAGGCCGCTTCCCTCTGGGCAAGGAGCTTGGCTTTTGGCCTGGACTACCACCCCTCTGCCCATGCTGCCCTGTGGGACTCAGCACTCCTTTGTCCCTGAGACCCAGCTGGGCCAGGCCTGTTCTGGGTGCTGAAGGGGGGCAGGGCTGGGGGCAGATCACCTGGGCCACAGGCCTGGCTTTGGCTTCCTGATGCCACCAGCCCCATAGACACAATAAATGATGCTGGAAGGGTGGCCTGGCTCCCTGGCCACTGCATCGTGTCTTTGCATGTTTGACTGGGCAGGTGGGCCTTCAGGAAATTGTTCCCAGGGTGACTATGTGTGCGCATGGGTGGGGTTGGTGGAACCTCATTCCTGGGCCTTGCCATTATGGCTTTGGGTCAGCAGGTGTGTTTGCTTGGGTGTCCACACCTTTGCTTGGGGCAGCAGGTGGGTATGGGGTCAATCCACAGGCCAACCAGGCATGGGCTAATCTTCTGAACAGTGGGCAGGCTCCTGCCCTTGAAGTTGACCCCAGTTTCCCTTGGACAGGTAGAAGGGTCCCTGAGGTGAGTCTGTTTTCAGAGGCCCTAGGCACACCCAGAGATGTAGCCTCGGATGAGGACCTAGGAGGTTTCTGAAGCCTCAAGCTGGGTTCAAAAGAATTTCTCAATCCAGCAATCCCACTTTTGCATGTATGTGTGAAGGAATTAGAAGCAGGGACTCAGATTTCTGTACACCAGGTTCAGAGTAGCATGGTCCCCAGTAGCCAAGAAGCAGGTCTCATTACTGAATGAATGTAGAAGCCAAATGTGGGCCAAGCCCTTCATGGAATATCATTCAGCCTCAAAAAATGAAGGAGGGCTGGGGCCGTAGCTCAGTGGCAGAGCGCTTCCTTGCACATGTGAGGCACTGGGTTCGATCCTCAGCACCACATAACAACTAAAAATTTTTAAAAATAAAGAAACAAAACTATTTTTAAAAACGAAGGAAAGCCTGCAGCAGGCTGGGAGGGGGAACCCGAGGACTGTACCCCTGGTGAAGTGCCAGCCTCAAAGTTTGCACTCAGACGGGGTTCCCAGTGGAGTGAGATTCCTGGAGACAAGGGGAACTGGGGTAGCTTAATGGGGACAGGCCTCAGCTTCCAAGACTAGAAAGTTCTGAGGAGTTACCCAACCCCGGGAATGCACCTCACAGTACTGAACTTAAAAATGGAGAAGTTTTTTTTTTTTTTCTGGGCTTGTAACAGGGGTTCACTTGATGCTTTGACTATATCCCTCGTGTCCTTGAAACTTACATGATTTTTTTTCTTTTTTCCATTCCTCTTTTCCCTAAGCTTCTCTTCTCCTTTCTGATCTCTCCTCCCTAATCTCATTTTTTCTGAATCACCTCTGCAAAAACCCCTGTTCCTGTGGCTAGACAGAATCACAGCCTTTGGGACAGGAGTCCCCTGTGTCTCTCCTTTGCTAGCAAAGCAATGAACCTTCTTTTTGCTTTTTCTCAAAACCTTGTCTTCGTTATTGGATTGGCCTCAAGGACTGAGCTTTTGGTAACAGGCTGGGAATCCACCCCAGGGCCTGTGGCAATGCTAGGTGAGTGTTCTGTGTTGAGCTTCATTCCAGCCTCTAAGGTGCTAAATTTCATGTTCTGTGTTTTTACCACAGTTTAAAATGTTTCCAAAGGAAAAAAATCCATCCTCTCGCTCTGTGTAATGCACCTGCCTGCAGCGGCCTCCTTCCTCCTCCCATCAGGCCTCACCACCTGAGCCACAGGCCTGCCTCACTGGCTGTCCCCTCTGCCCCCACATGCCCTCTGCCTCCTGTGAACCAGTTTTCCAAGAAGCTGCATCTCCATTAAATGACTGCAGGCTGCTTGTCCATGGCTGGGCCACGTGACCCTGAAAGGTGGCCTGTTGGAGGGCGAAGCAGAGATTATCTTGGGCATTCTTCAGCCTTTGAATATCTGTTTACCTTAATTTTGTATTGTTTTTGTTTTGGAGACTGAATGAAATGGTGCTATACCACTGACCTACATCCCTAGTCCTTTTTTTTTTTTTTGGACAGGGTCTCATGAAGCTGCCCAGTCTGGCCTCGAGCCTGCAGTCCTGCCTCAGCCTCCTGAGTTGCTGAGATTACAGGCCTGTGCCAACCGCGGCGCCTGGCCTAACATTCTCATAAGCATCCCAAGTGCATTGGAATGGATCCCTAAGCTGACGGAGCTCCAGCCTTCCCCAGCCCTAACACTAAGATGCCATAATGCCCTTCACCTGTAACAGGGGTCCACTTTATGCTTTAAATGTAGCCCTTGCTGCTCTGTCACTTGCTCCTCCCTAATCTCTCCCCCTCCCCATTCTCATGGGGAAACAGGATTACCTTTCTTTCCCATCCTAGGCACAGATTTATCTGTCCTGAGTACACACCCACCATAGGAAAGAAAGAATCCAGAGTTTGGGGATGGTATCAGAAGATCTCAGAAAGGACTATCTCCCAAATTACCAAGTGAATTACTCCAACAGAGAACACAAGGAATGCTGTAAGCCTCTTTAAATGCCCCCTGTTCCTTCTCATGGGGAGAGCCACAGTCTCTGGGACAGGACCCTGTGTTTCTCCTTTGCTAGCAAAGTAGTACACCTTCTTTTTCCTTCTTATCAAAATCATGTCCTTGATATTGGATTGGCAACAGGGACAAGGACCAACTTTCAGCAATAAACCTAGAGAAGAGATTCCCCATCTACCTGATATTCCTATCAAAGTACTTGGTAAATGTTTTTAATTATGACTTTCTTTTTTTTCCTGTGGCCTTAATGAGAAACTGATGTGACTCCATTTTTGAAAAACCAGCCTGTACCTCAGAGTAGGGCCTGTGGGTGAGGGGGATCCTTATCCTAGGAAAACTGTTCCTAGGCGCATAAGCTACCCCATGAGTCATTTGTCTGTACCAGATGTCCTTGACTCAGCAAATGCAAGTTCCTGAAAAGACCAAAAAAATGACTGAGGCCTAATTCGGACCATAGCAACAACCAATCGGAGTGAGTCAGGGAAGACACAGGAAATACCAGGCGACCCTCCCAGTGGTTTTAGGCCTGCAGTTTAGCATCTACACTCTTGCAACCCCTAGCGGCCTAAACCAATCCACCACTTGAACTAACCAATCATGCTTACCCGACTTGTTCCCGTCAATGTGCTAATCACTGTTAAGAGTTGTTTGATTTTCCCCGTGGTGTGAAATGGTTACCTGTGTGATGTTGTGACCCATAGAGTATCGCCACAAAAACTATAAATCCTCAGGACTCATTCCTCTGGACCGCTGCGTGGGAAATGGTTGTGAGTCCAGGTTCGAGAGCTTGCAATAAAAACTCTGTGATTGCATCGGATTCGGCTCCTGGAGGTCTACTGGGGTCCCACGAATCTGGCATTACACTAAGAGTTCATGAACTTCTTCCACATAGCTGTCATGGATAACTTGAGTCCATTTTCTGGGCCCCTGGTTGCTCATTTGTTTCAGAATAATTTATTTTCTTATTCTTCAAAGTGGAATCATTATTTCAGGCCAACATGCCCTCAGGCAGAGTCTCCCTGGGTCCTCCCATCATGACTCCTCCTCTTTTTTGGCTGCTCTCTGATGGTGGGAGAAAGAAAGTCCCCTCTCTCAGGCTCCCTGCCTCCTGCCATCATTGTTTATGAAAAACCAGCCTGTATCTCAGAGCAAAGCCTGTCCAAGGAAGGGACATCACCTTTGTCCTTGAAAAGACCCACAGAGCACTCCTAGGCACATTCCCACCCTGATAAGTTGTTTATCTACAAATAACAGGAGAGATCTGCTGCACCAGGTGTCCGTGACTCAGTCAGGCTAGGTGGAGACCCATAGTAACCCCCTAGCAGCCACCAATCAGCATGAGACAGGGAAAAATACCTGGGATGCCAGATGACCCTCCCAGTAGTTTATGGTGGTTGATAACGTGTTGGGAAACCATGTAGTTCAGCCCAAGGTGCACAGCTTCCTAGGCTGGTGCCTGGACGGCCCGAGATGGAGCAGGGCGGACAGCTCCGCGCTCCTCTCGCTGTGGTCAGCCTGTGGAGGAGAGCTCCTCATGTGACATGGAGGCGCGATGCCATTGCCCAGGGACCGGTGTGTCCAGGGGCTGAGCAGCGAGGAGCCGCGGGAGCCTCAATTCCCTGCCCGGAGGAAGGCAGGACAGTGGAGGGATGAGGGACCTGGGGCTGGGGCGACAGGCCTGCTAGGGCTGGGGCTGGCCAAGAAGCTCCGGGGGCCCAGGTCCCAGGGGCCCCCAACCCCTGTGGGCTTGGACCAGCTTCTGTGGGTGCAGGGAGGAGCTTTGTCCTCCTGGGGCTTGTGACAGCCCTCTCTTCGTGCCTTTGGGTGCTACTTCACTCTCTCTGGCATATCTGGCACGTGGATTTCTGACTTCGGACCTAGGGTCCCCAGAATCACGGGGATGGGCTCGGGACTATGTGCCTCGAAGGATGAGGAGAGTGAGAAGGTGCCTGGGCATTGGGATGGGGCTGCAGGGAAGGCTGGGGTCCCAGGAGGGATGGCCTGGGCTAGGCCTGTCCCCAGCCTGAGGAGGCCCCTGTCCTGGTGCAGATCCTGGCTGTGGACAGGGTGTTCCTTGAGCATTTGCTCAGCCTGTTGGGGGCAGATGCTGTGGAGCAGAAGGCCCAGGAGATCCTGCAGCTGGAGCAGCTGGGGGCTGCTGGGGCTGGGGCAGGAGCATGGCAGGGCTGGGTCAAGTCTGGTCTCCATCCAAGATCACTGTCAGTGTGATGGCCTCTGGTGAATCTGGGCAATATGTACAACAAGGTGACCCTGGGACAGCTGCAGACAATCCATCCCCACCTGAGTGTGGCCCAGACCTTGTGTGCAGGCAGGTGTAGGGGCTGAATCTGGGACCCTGTGATCGCCCTCCCCAGGGATGGATGAGGCTTTCTATAGAGCTGGACTCCTGGTCTTCCTGTCACCATCCCTGCCCCTTGTCCTCTGTGGTCCCCACCCTGTGCCCCCAGCTGCGGTGGAAGTGGCTGCTGGACCAGATCTTCCAGGAGGACTTCTCAGAGGACGAGGAGGTGGTGCTGCTGGCCACAGACTACATGCAGCAGG